TTGTGTTATTTCTGTTACTCTTACTTTGTGCCATTGAGTTGGTTCTGACTCATAGCTACCCTGTACAGGGGTTTCCAAGAGTGGCTGGTGGGTTTGAACCACCAGTCTTGTGGTGGTGGTGTGCCGTGGATTCAGTTCCAAATCTAAGTGACCCTGCACAGGGTTTCCGAGGCTGTAAATCTTTCCAGGAGCAGAAGCCCCATGTTTCCCCTGAGGAACAGTTGGTAGTTTTTAACTGCTGACCTTGAGGTTCGCAGCCCAACTCATAACCAGAAGACTACCAGAGCTCCTTTTGTGGCTACTAGTCCCATGCTTAGCCTACAGTGCCAGACCAGGGCTCATTTCTGTTGTGTTGTTGTTGTTAACCTGTGTTGCTCGAACCTCTGCCCTTGCTTTTTTCAAACCGACCTTGCAGCAACATGAAATAACTAAGACACATGTGTTGTTCCCTCTACTTTTCTAGACTTGTAGGTGCTAATTGCTCCCCACCTCAGTAGCCTTTACCCCCAACAGCTTTGGTTTTCCTTGGACTCTGTTCCCCTCTCCGCAGTCATTCATGCCTCCTCTCTAGTGCTCAGCCCCATCTAAGACTGTCACGTGGATTCTGGGTAGTAACCAACATTGTAATCCCCATTGTGGTTTTTCCCTGGGCAGCTCCTCCCACTGTTCAGAGTGCTTTGAGACTGCCAAATCTCTGTGACCGTCAGCCAAGCAGACCTTGCTGGGCCACCCAAACTGCTGCCACAGAGAGTGTCTTCCACCCAACAACCTGACACCCAGCACAGTGGATGGGTGTTCCCTGCATTGTTCCACAGCCAGGAGAGCACAGTGATGAGACGAACCGGAAAGAGAGCATTCAGACAATCCCAGGTTGCAGCTGGCCTCTGCCACTTCTATGCTGGGTGGCCCTGAGCAAGGCATTTCACGCCTGAGCCTCGGGTTATTTTTCTGGAAAAGCAAGGGTGCTTCTAAATCTTAAAGGTTAATGGTGAGAACAAACAAATCCCTAGAAAACATCAAAGCAAGTGGCCAGGTCCTCTCAACGCAGACCCTCTTCCAAGACTAAGACTCAACGGAAATGCACGTTCTGATTGGTGACCATACACATCACCGATGGGGGGGAGTGGGGTAAAAGCAGCAATGAAGCGGCAAGCTAAGTCCTACAATGTCCAGTGGACTTCTGTGGACCCAGTTGGGGACCTGGTTGGCAAGCAGTGTGAAGAGGCCTGGGGACTCTTGGGCCCAGAGTCAGTGGCATGGCCACGGAGGACTCGAGAGGAGAGGGGAGCTACCGGCTGATGGGAAGAGAGGACATATGCACAGGAGCGCCCACACTTGCAAATGATACCCATGTGACCTGGACTGGATGACTGGATGATCGAGCTCAACCAGGAGAGGAAAGAAGAGGGGAAAAGAAAAAAAAAAAAGAGTGAGCTGATACAGTCTGATGAACTTGACCTATACCTATGGAGCAGCGACTCAAAAGAGGGAACAAATCCTCACAGCAAGAAACATTCACACACACACCCACACACAGAGTGAACGGAGAAGGGCAGCTTGGACATTGGATACTCAAATGGGGAGTGGGGGACTACAAAGGCAAGAAGTGACTGGCTTACAAGCTTTCAAGAGGGAACCTGGTGCTAGGGAGCATGGCGGAAGGCAGAATCTCCAGTAGGTACTACTCAATCTGTCTGGGCGGAGCTGATGAAAGGAGATACAGATGGGTAACTTGTGATACTGTAGTGAATAATGCTTATCAGGATGGATTATGAGGGTTGGAAATGCAAAGGTGGAAGTTTTGTAACAAGGAAGGGAGTGATTAATTCTCCAGGATAGGAGCGGAGGCCTCTGGGACCATCAACGGAGAAGAGCCGAGAGCGGGACCCTACCCAGAGAGACAGAGATGCCTGAGATAGAGACAGAGATGATGACGTGGAGTGATGAAGCGACTGGGGACTTTCGACCCAGAGAGGGAAAGGGACTGTGGGCCAAAAACTGGGGGGAGGAAGGGGAAGTGTAGGGGGCGGGTTTCTGGGATATACCCTTTGGGTGGTTGATGATGCATGGCGGGGATTGGATCCATGGCAATGAGATGATATACGATGGAATGGATGCAAAACTAAAGTTCTTCCATGTAAACTCATATAATTCACAATGTTGTTGTTGTTGTTAAGTGCCGTCGAGTCGGTTCCGACCCATAGCGACCCTGTACAGGGTTTCCGAGGGTGTAAATCCTTACGGGAGTAGAAAGCCTCATCTTTCTCCCGCGGAGCAGCTGGTAGTTTCGAACCGCTGACCTTAAGGTTCGCAGCCCGATTCGTAACCACTACGCTACCAGAGCTCCCTTATAATTCACAATAAAACATTAAAAATAAAAAAAAATTAAAAAAAAGGTTAATGGTTGTGTAATTTCACTGTAGAATGCTTGCTGTCTTTACACTCTTTGAATTCCTCAATGGTACAAAGGCATTGTGGAGCGGGCCTCTGAAAGAAGCAGAAAGTACAGGCCTTGCCTTGTGGGCTATCGTCTTGCCTGCATCACTGACAGGCGTGAAATGAGAAACCATGGTAAACCATCAAGTATTTCAAAATGGCGTTTCTTGCTCAACATTGATTGAGATGCCCCCACACTTACTTCTGTGTGCGTTTGGGGAAGAGGTAACCCCCATTTCAAGTCTTTCCCTTTGGTATTGTCCAGAAAGGAAACTGTTGTTCCTTGTTAGTGAATCCATTCTTCCTGAAGCTGTTTTAAACAGGTTGCTGGGAGAACTTGGATGGGAAAAACGATTTGAGGTTGAACAAAGCCAGTCCTTTGCCGTCAGCTTCTTGCCTGAGCACAGACATCTTCTGTTCTTGCCACCCCTGTCCTTTGACTGTAAGATTAACCGGCCTCTGTTGCCAGAGGGCAGGGCAGGTCTCTCCCTGGCATCTTATTGCGTAGACCCCATCCTGCACAGGGTTGTTGATGTTAGTTGCTGCCCAGTTAATGATGACTCAGGGCAACCCCGTGGGTAGAGCAGAGCTGCTTCAGAGGGTTTTCAGAGCTGTGACCTTCAGAAGCAGAGCACCAGGCCTGTCTTCGGAGGTGCCTTGGGATGGCATCTCAGTTAGTAGTTGAGAGCTTAACTGTTGTGCCATCCAGGGACTCCTATGCACAGGACAGTATAATAAACCCTTTTCTTTCCAGCTTAGCTTCAAGCACTGTGTAGAATATTCCAGACAGCCCTGGCGTGGTGCTGTGGATTAATGTGCTGCACTGCAAAGTCAGTGTTGAACCTCAAGGTCGGTGGTTCAAGCTCACGAGCTGCTCCTTGGAAACCCTATACAGGGTCGCTATGAGTCGGAACCAACTCGACGGCACTTAACAACAAGAAGTATGAATTCACAACTCATTTGTAAAGGCTTCTGTATATGTAGTGGCATCATTTTTTAAATACAGTTTATCTTATTTTGTTGTTGGGAATACAGTAAAACCTATACCAATTCATGTACAAGTTTCTACATGTGTAATTCAGTGACATTGATGACATTCTTTGAGGTGTGCCAGCCATTCTGCATTGTTCTTCCCCTCTTGCCATATGAGAGGACTTCAAAGAGTTATGGGAAAATGGGATGAAAAGATAATGGAATTTTTCCATGAACTTTTTCACACTTCCTCGTAGATCCATTGGCCCATAAGGTTTCTTTCGTATCTTTTGAGTTACTAGCATGGATTTGGTCCTTGTACATAGAGAGATCTGAAAAGAGCACAGTGCTCAAGACAGATTCTCTACTAGTGAAGCTAAACTGTTGTTTTTAAAAAGACTTCAGGGGATGTTTTTAGTTCAAGGTTTAAAAATTAGGGCAGTAGCTTCATGTGTTCATCTACCTTCCATAACTCCAGAAAGTCTGAATTACATGAGAATTTTATATGCTGTTCTGCATTCCCCCCCACCTCCCCTTTGATAAGGATTTGTACTGACATCTTTTGGTGTAAGTCTCCTAGAGATATCTGGAGATACTTTCTCATCCCTCATTGCAATTGTAAAATCTTAAAGAATAAAATCTGAAGTGTTCTCTATCCCAGAGACTGTCAGTGTCAGACACCAGCTCTTGGTGGTGCAGATCTTAGTGTCCTGAGTTCGTCTCCACCCTCCCACGTCTACCCCTTATTCTTTCTGCAGCAGAGGACGGAACTGAGGTCTCTTTTTAAAGGGGAAAGTTGGCAGCCGTGCTGGCACTCAGTGGAGCACTGGCTGCAATGTGTATTTGTTTTGTGTGTGTGTTTTGTTTTTTAATGTGTATGAGACTTCTGGCCCATCAAAAACAAGAACCAAGGAAAGAAGCAGCGGCTGAGCAAGTGAAAGGTAGCTTTTACTCAGTGTTCCAGCTGTCAGAAAGGAAGTTTATCAGCTATTTCTACAAAATAGCAGAAAATGGCTATTTTGATTTGGCTCTTTGGCCTGGCCAGGCCCTGGTCCCTGAGTGCCCACAAGGTTGACTGGCCACCTTATCTAAGGAGCTTTCTACTGGGACTCCCTGTGCCCTTGTCTGCCTCCCCACCCACTCTGGCTCTGCACAGAAACAGGCTGTGAGTCAAGCTCACAGACTGCAAGTTCATTGTTTGTTGGCCTAAATCCTAGTGTCTTCTTGGACATTGTCTGCACCCCAAGGAGCCTTGGCTTCAGCCTTGACACACTCTAGTGGCTGTGGATGTAGAGGTACATATTTGGGGTCAGTAAGGCAGGGAGTTTGCTCAGAACCATGAGCCTGAAATTGGGAGACTACCTTTCTCCATGACTCAGATGGTTGTAGAGCAAATAAATGCGTTGCGCAGTCTAGTTAGGGTCTCCTCATGACTCCAGGACGAAGGGTCTGGGGTGAGGGAAGGCAGCCAGGTAGATCATGGGGTAGGTGGACGGAGAGCTCTGTGGCTCATGAAGGGGTTAATGTGCAGCAGTTCAGGCCTAACCCAGCACTCTCATTTCTCTCTTGCAGTTGGAGACCCCCTCCCCACCAAGTGCCTCTTTGCTTAGCACTGGCCCCCCGCCCCCACGCTCACTGGTACCACAACAGCGGGACGGGCCATGGCGGGTCGGGGAGGTACAGCACGACCCAACGGACCAGCCTCTGGGAACAAGATCTGCCAATTTAAGCTGGTCTTGCTGGGGGAGTCTGCCGTGGGCAAATCCAGCCTTGTCCTCCGCTTTGTCAAGGGGCAATTCCACGAGTACCAGGAGAGCACAATCGGAGGTGAGTGGGCACGAGGTTGTGAGGGCAGCCTGGCATTGAGGGGAGGGGGAACCATGCACCTCCAGTTCATCTGGGTGCTGAGAGGGGAAAGCCAGTTTCGCACCTGGCTCCGGCTCTTTGTTATTTGGGCGCGCTGGCCCGGCCTGGCCTGGCCTTGGGAAGAGAGAGGCTGAGTCTGGAGCTCTGTGGGCCCTGGGCTGGCTCTTCTCTAACTGACGGTGCACGTGCCCCAGCCTCTCCCTGCTTCCAGAATGGGGAAATGGCCCCGGGGAGTCGTGGCTGGGAGTGGAGGCTGGGCTTCTGAAGCTGACCTTTACCCTTTCTTTTGTATGTCATTGATTTTTCCCAGTGGTCAGCATTTAGGATGTGAGGGGCTGGACTCAGCCTCTTGCCTTTGTGGACAGTACACACCCTGAGAGGTCAGGACTGTCCTTGGGCTTGAGTCATCCTCTCTACCCTCTTACTTGGGAGGAGGTGTCCAGGCAGCTGAAACAAAATGGGCCATGTCAGCAGTCCTCCCGCTGCCTCCTCAGCACGCGGGTCAGGAGCAGGAGAGGGGGATGTGAGGCCGAGTCCCAGGTCCCTCAGTGAGCGGCGAGGGTAGGTGAGGAGAGCTGACTTTCTACAGAGAGCTGGGTCCAGGGACACAGGGAGCCTCCTGTGAAGCATTCGCACAAGTGCCCCATGTTCCCTTATCTCTTTAGACCAAAGATAGAGTCAGTGTGTCCCCTGAAAGTCAGGCTACTGCATGGCCATGCAGGAATGGGTCTCAGTCAGAGTTGGGGGTGGTGGCAGGCAGGTGGGAAACTGGCCGCCTAGCTTCCACCTGCAGTGGAACAGTGTGTCCTCTGGGAACAGAAGGTCAGCAGCACCCATGGGCTGGAGCATACCCAGGGACTGGAGGACTCTCTGGGGGTTGGGGGTGGGGAGGCTGAGCTCTTGTGGCGAGCCCAGGAGGAAGATGGGGAGTGGACTTTACTTGGGAATCAGGTTCCTGGGGCATTTCTTCACCTGTCCTTACGGCAGTAGGCAGCCCTTCTCTTCCTTCGTTGGCCAGGCTGATCCTGGAGAACCTGTACATCCCTGTCCCCGAGACACTCATAGATACAGGAATTCCATTTGCCCTGCTGAGGCCTGTGTTAGCTGTTGGCCTGCTAGGCTTCTCTGTGCCTCTCTCAGAGCCTTGCTGTCACCGGTGGAGTGTGTGGTGGCGGCTTCTCTAACCTGTTCTTGTCTGATGACACCACCTTCTCTCTGCAGCGGCCTTCCTCACACAGACTGTCTGCTTGGACGACACGACAGTCAAGTTTGAGATCTGGGACACGGCTGGGCAGGAGCGGTATCACAGCCTGGCCCCCATGTACTATCGGGGGGCCCAGGCCGCCATCGTGGTCTATGACATCACCAATACAGTAAAGATGGTTTTTTTCTTTCCCTGTTATTCATCTCTGGAAGCCCCTGGAATTGGGCTATAGAATAGGCCCTGTTTCAGACCCCTCAACCCTGTGTTCCTGGGGTGGTATGTGAGCAAACTTCCTCTGTTGTTTGGGGCTATCTCACCAGGATCTTTAAGGTCCTGGCATCTTAGCCATCTTGGCTGTGACAGCTCAAGCTTCTTTAGGGTGTGACCCTGGGCAGAATGCCTCCTCCATCCCTTGACATTCTGGCCCTGTTCTCCACAGGATACATTTGCACGGGCCAAGAACTGGGTGAAGGAGTTACAGAGGCAGGCCAGCCCCAATATCGTCATCGCACTCGCAGGCAACAAGGCGGATCTGGCCAGCAAGAGAGCCGTGGAATTCCAGGTGTGGAGCTGGGTGGGCCCAGGGGGCGGAGTACACCAGGCTGCTCCAGGGGCCTTTGGGAGGGGCCAGGCTTTAGTCTTCTGTCCCCCTAGTAGCTCAAGCATGGGCCTAAAAGGAGGTGTCCCCTGCCTCGCCTAGTTATTTATCTTTGAGGGGAGAGGGTTACAATGTATAGTGTAAACTACTGTTAATTTTTTCTTGTAAATTCAATTTTTGAAAAAGGATTCCTTTTTAAATCTAATACAAAAAGATATATGGAATGGAACTAAAGTCTCTTCTTACCTTAGAAACCCAGAATCCCTTTCCCAAGGTTCCCCACCATTCTTTGTCTTTCTAGAAATAGGCCCAGGTGTATGAATCCCTTTCTTTACACAGTCGGGAGCATGCTATCATGCATGCATTCTCATCATTTAGTTTTACCCTTCCTTTACTGATTGTCCTGGTGTGGTTCTGTGGGTTAATGCGCTGGACTGCAGAGTCGGTTTGAACCACAAATTCAAGAATCCAAGCTCACCAGCCGCTCCTCAGAAATCCTATACAGGGTTGCTGTGGGTCGGAACTGACTTAATGGCACTTAACAACAACAAATTAGTGATGGACCCTGGGTAGTTTGTAATAGCAGCTGACTGAAGACAGTGCAGCACTTACCATCCACGTACCTGTGCTCTGTCCAGACGGCCAGGGGTCTCTGTAGAATGACTTTCCAGAAGTGGTCCTAGCCTTGTCATTTCATAGCATAGACCTAGAAAAACCTGAGTAAGACAACGGCTGCTGTGTGTGAGCTGAGGGGTCGGGCATGGGGTCAATGTCTTAGGAGAATGCGGAGCAGGAAAGCATGAAGCCCTGCACTGGTCCAGGGATGAGATTTATCCCGGGCCCTAGCCACTGCCAACAGCCAACAGTTCCTTCCCATCTCCTCTCTCACTTCCATCCGAACCAGGAAGCACAAGCCTATGCAGATGACAACAGTTTGCTGTTCATGGAGACATCAGCCAAGACTGCAATGAACGTGAATGAAATCTTCATGGCAATAGGTAAGTCACCTCCCACCAAGGGTGTATGGGCTGCCTACTGTTCTGTAGTAGGTCTCTGGGAATCCCTTCATTGTTCTAATAGAATAGTTGGCTAACTCCCCCAGGTAGATAGTTCACCCAGAATTTACTCTAGCCTGAGCCAGAGTTTCAGCATTCCACTCCTGCACACAGTAGCTTGCTACCCATTTCAGAGATTACAATCACCACCCCTCATCCATTTCTCTAGACTCTGGTATCAGCCTGCCTATGTTCAAAAGCTAGCTCTACCACTCACTGCTCTGTAGCCTTGAGTGTGTTGGTTCACTTTGCTTTACCTCAGTTTCCTGACACATTCAGAACTTGCCTGGCACCTTGTTGTTGTTGTTGTTGTTAAGTGCCATCGAGTCGGTTCCGACCCATAGCGACCCTGTACAGGGTTTCTGAGGGTGTAAATCTTTATGGGAGTAGAAAGCCTCATCTTTCTCCCACGGAGCAGCTGATAGTTTCGAACCGCTGACCTTAAGGTTCACAGCCCGATTCGTAACCACTACACTTCCAGAGCTCCTTGCAGCCCTCAAATCTGTGAGTTATCATTGATGGAAGGGTGAAGAGCAGGTTGTACTTAAGTGGCATTAGGAGAGTATTAGGGATCCCCCTCAAATGCGGTTTTTCTCCTCCTCTCCCAAACAGCTAAGAAGCTTCCCAAGAACGAGCCCCAGAGTGCTGCTGGTGCTCCGGGCCGGAACCGAGGTGTGGACCTCCAGGAAAACAACCCAGCCAGCCGGAGCCAGTGCTGCAGCAACTGAGCCCCCCCTTGCCTGCCTACTGCCCCCACCTCCTCCGTCTGAACGACCCGACTGGAATCCACTCTAACCAATCGCACTTAACGACCGGGCCACCGCTGGGGGGGGGGGAGCGGAGGCGTTCGGCAAGCCGTCGTCGTCGGCGCGTTCAATTCCCACCTCCTCCATACACAGAGTAGACAGGGATGGGAAACTTGGACATTGGCTACCCAACTGGGGGGGGGGGGGGGGGGGGCAGGGGGAGGGGTCCACCATGATTTCTCCAGATAATTTGGATCATAGGCCGGAGTGAGTTATTCTACCTGCACCTTTCTGTACAAATACTAATTCAATTTTAAGTCTTAAGTCACTTTTTTAATATATATGATCTTTTGCTCTTCCCACTTCCTTCCCTTCCTTCTGTTCCCCCACTTTCCCTTTGCTGGTAGTGGCCACATGCTCCTATGCCTCAGCCTCGTATATGGGGTCAAGGGGCTGAATAGCAGGCTCGGCAGGAACATCTACATCCTTACCTTGTTTAGAGCGGGTGTCGTTTGGGGTGGCGGGGAAGGCCCTGGAGGCGAGGGTCGGGGAGTAAGCCCTTCCCTCAGTGGACCTCAGCCCCCCAGCTGGGAAAGAAACACCATTACTAGGATTACTTACCACACATGAAAATGTAACAGCCACGAACCAACTGCCCACCCCACCCCCTCGGTCACCCTGACCTCTGGCTCTGAACCCTGTTTTGACCAAATCACGATGATGAGTATTTGCGGGGGGTGGGTAAGGGGGGGAGTGGGGACGGGATGGAACCAACTTTTTCTGTATTTTGTATTGTATGTTTTCTTCAACATGTAACCAATCAGTATCTTGTCAATATAGTCAGCCGATCGACCTCGCTCTTGTCTTCCTTGTCTTTCTCTGGCAGAGTTTATCAGACCGTACCGCCAATTTTCTTGATGTTAATGTGAAATGAACTACTGAATCTTAGTCAAACAAAGGCCTTTTTTTTTTTTTCCTACCATGAGGGATGCTGGTGGTCATGGTAACCAAGAGAAAGAGGCCCTTACTGTTAGCGACTCTTGTGGGATAGAAGTAGAGTCACACTGACCTGGGCTGAATCTCTGAATCCACCAAATTGAAACTTGAGGATCCCGCATCAGCCTCCTTCCCATTACATAATACATGGGCAGGGTGATAGGCAGTATGTATTGGAAGATTGATGGCTTTGGAAACACTAGAAGCGACCTCTCTGGAGTCTTTGGTTGGTCTGTAAAGGAAGATGATGAGGCTTTCTGCTTCCACAAAGATTTATAGCCTCGGAAACCCTATCAGGGTCGCTATGGGTCACTAACAGCAATAGCAGGCCCAGATGGGACTTGGTCCTTTCATCCTCTAGAACCGGTGGGGAACATCTGACCCTTGGGCGGAGAGAAATCATTTGATCTGGCTCTGCCAAGGCAATTGCAGTTCAAGACATTGCATTTGTTAAGTGCCTTCAAGTGGATTCTGACTCCTAGGGTGGTTTTCAAGAAATGGCTAGTGAATTGGAACCACCCACCTTGTGGTTCAGTGCATTATCCCACAGTGCCACACCAGGGCTCTAGCCCATATTTGTTGTTAAGTGCCATTGTGTGGGTTCTGACCCATAGCGACCCTGTATAGGGTTTCCAAGAAGTGGCTGGTGAGCTTGAACCACCAACTTTGCAGATCAAACTAGCTTTATAGTCCAACGTATGAACCCGCAGTGCCACACCATCACATTGTTGTTATTAAAGTGCCATCGAGTTGGTTCCGACCCATAGCGACCCTGTATAGGGTTTTTGAAGAGCAGCTGGTGAGCTCGAGCCACCGACCTTGCAGTTAAAACACCTTTGCAGGCTGGCATATTAACCCATAGCACCACACCAGAACTCCACATTAGGGGTGAGTTAATTAAATGTTTGACCAACTATAGCAGGCTGATTTTCAAGTGGATAATTTTGGATGGCCCATGAATGATGTTATAAATCTTGGCAGAAAAAGGTTTTCCACTCTTGATCTAGAACCTCAGGTTGGTCATAAGGCCAAAGCTGCACCTGGCTTTCCTCACCACCTTCTCCCACTGCTCCCACGTTCATGTACACACATGCACGCACGCGTGCCGGGGCCCAGCTAGCCCTTCCCTGCTCTTGGGATCCTCTGCTGGCTCTGGAGCTAGGTGTAGTTTGGGTGCCCCAGGCCCACTGCTGCTCCTTGCTTGGACCTGATGCCCTAACAGAGAAGTGAGCACAGTAGGGGAGCACACCTTTCCATCTTCCATGGCCACAGCCTCGTCCTTTCTTGGTGGTTGAAGTGCCCGCCTCCCTCTGTCTGTACTTTCACTCCACCCTCAGGAAGAACCAGGGACAACTCTTCTGCTGCACACCAAGGTTGTTTACTGGCTCAGGCTAGGTTGTAGCTCTTAGAGCTGCGGCCCCCGAGTCTGGAAGGTGGTCCTGTCTCGACTTCCGGAGGGGGGGGTAGAGCCCCGCAATGGCTTCGGACACACAGTTGGCCGTAGGGTGTCAGGCAGCAGGTCATGGTGGCTGGATCGAGGTCAGGTGGTAGTTGCATTTGCTGGTGCACTTTTCGTGCCATGCAAAAGCCTCCCCCGTCTGGGCCGCAGCTCTCCAGGTGCTGCTGACCTGTCACCATCAGGCACCCCTTATTGACCCGCACCTCCAGCTCTCCGGGTTGAAGCCATGGGTATCCACCTTCAATTGGAAGCTGCTTTTTGCTTGGTCATCCTCCACAGCTGTGGGATCATTGCTGAGCAGCCGCACTGGCAGCCTGACCACAGGATTCTGTTAGACAAGAGCTACGCTTGGACGCCGGGACGCCACCACCTTCTCGTTGGAGAGGCCACTCCCTACCCGCTGCATAGGTGTGAGCAACTGCTGTCCTAGTGCGCGCGCCTCCCGGAACGCAGAGCTCGCTTGGAGCGTGGAAGAGCCACGGGTGCGCTCACAAGGGGCCACACCGGAGAAAAGACAAGGACCCTCTCACACCCGTGCGTGCTTGGCACCGCACTGCCTAGCTCAGCTCAGTTCCCATAGCTTTTGTGTGTGGGTGAGAGTCAGGGTCAGCTATGCAAGCCCTAACCCCTAGCTCTGGTGCTCCGGCTCCTTTTATCATGGATCCTGACTCTTTCAAGGACCCTTCCTCACCTGACAGGGGAGGCTGTGACTGAACTGGACCGAAATTGTGAGAGTTTCATGTTAAGGCACCAAAATCAGATCGAGCCTCCAGGCTGTGAGGGACTGTCTGGATCTTCCAGGAATCAGGTGTGGGGGCAAGAAGGATTGCTCCCAGCAAAGTGTTGCAGACCCGGGTCTTCCTTTCTCTGGAAGTCCTGCCTTTCCCTAACCACACACAAGAGTTTCTCTCCCAAGTGCTGCTGGGTCCGCTGTGTGGCAGAAGACTGGACTCTGGGCCCACAAAGATGAAGATGTGGGTGGGCCCTGCCCTCAAAACTGGAGGAGAGTCCCTCGTCTTTCTTTGTAACCACAGCCGTGCCTCTAGCACTCAGCATTCTTCAAATAAACTTACTGAAATGTGATATACTTACAGAAAAGTGCATAAATCATACAGTTAATGATCACACTCATGTAATGAACACACAGCTCAAGAAACAGAAGTGTTGCAAAATTTCAGTATCTTCAGTAACAGCAACTCTGTCCCGGGGGAACACCTGTAGGGCAAGGCCTTTGCGGAGGTGGGGACTTGACCCCAAGTCCAAGGCCAGTGCATGGGGCCGGGTGGCAGACAAGAGTTCATGACTCCCCAGAACAGACTTCTGTTTTCTGGGGACGATCCTCCTTGTCTCTAATAGAACACTGTCTTGAATATCGTGGAAGCCTCCAAGAGAGATGGGAAGTGAGGCGGGGTCCATTTGGGTTGCTCGCTCAGGGTTTACCTGGCAGCCTGTGGTTCAGGGAACAAGACAGAAATGTCAGGAAGCAAAAGGCAGAGGGGAACGACTACAGAAGACTACAATTCCCATCATGCACCAGTGCAGCAACGCCTGCGCACTGAGTGCCGGTTGCCCATGCGGCCCTAGGGCTGGGAGCGCCGCGCCGCGCTCCGCTGCTGGGGAGGCCATGGCGGAACCTTCCCAGGCCTCGACCCCGGCCCCGGCCGCACAGCCCCGTCCCCTTCAATCCCCAGTCCCTGCCCCAATTCCGACTCCTGCTCCCAGTCCTGCTTCGGCTACAGCTCCAGCTCCCTCTTCGGCACCAGCACTCGCCTCAGCTGCAGCCCCAGCCGGGAGCACAGGGACTGGGGGACCCGGGGTAGGAAGTGGGGGAGCCGGTAGCGGAGGGGATCCTGCTCGACCTGGCCTGAGCCAACAACAACGCGCCAGTCAGAGGAAAGCGCAAGTCCGGGGGTTGCCGCGCGCCAAGAAGCTTGAGAAGCTAGGGGTCTTCTCTGCTTGCAAGGTGGGGGCGGAGCCTGGATTGAAAAGGGGCGGGGCCTGGGGCGTCCAAGGGCTTGGATGGGAATGGGGGCAAGCTCTTGCGTGGGGAGCAGAGCAGCTCTTTGCAGTGGGTCGTTGATTAATCTTTTTGCCTGCAGGCCAATGAAACCTGCAAGTGTAATGGCTGGAAAAACCCCAAGCCCCCCACTGCACCCCGCATGGACCTACAGCAGCCAGCTGCTAACCTGAGCGAGCTGTGCCGCAGCTGTGAGCACCCCTTAGGTAAGGCCAGCAGAGCCCTGGACCTTGGGGAGTCGAGGGAGGACTGCTGGCTCTTGAGTGAACTAGATGCTATCAGTCCCTCATCGCTGAAAGACCAAAGATGCCTCCTAGGGAGGGATTGGGTTGGGAGTATGTATACTTGCCTCAAAGGAGGACAAGGAAATCAGGAGACTACCCAAGGACTGACACAGAAGCAGCTAGTCTCATTAGCTGGTAACTGGACAGATGAGCTATGAAGAGGGGAAAGAGGTCCCTGTTGATGGCTTCTACCCAGGCCTCCTAACTCTTCCACTTGTCCCTCTTGCAGCTGACCACGTGTCCCACTTGGAGAATGTATCTGAGGATGAGATCAACCGGCTCTTAGGGATGGTGGTAGATGTGGAGAATCTGTTCATGTCTGTTCACAAGGAGGAGGACACAGACACCAAGCAGGTGTATTTCTACCTCTTCAAGGTGAGTTTCCTCCCAATGAGGGAAGGCGTGCATGGATGAGGCATAGGGCTAGTACACCTCCAGCTCTGCTGACCAACACTCTACCCTTTCCTCTTCCTCCCTAGCTCCTGCGGAAATGCATCTTGCAGATGACCCGGCCCGTGGTGGAGGGGTCTTTAGGCAGCCCCCCATTTGAGAAGCCTAATATTGAGCAGGTGGGATGGGGATTGTGGTAAGAGGAAAACTGGGGAACTTGGATTCTTCATCCTCCCTGGGCTGAGTGCAAGGTAGAGGTTCAGAGCAGCGAAAAGGTTCTGTGAGGAGTGGGACAGTTTTCTCTGCAGAGAGCCCCAGAGTGAGAGGCGAGCCTCATCTTTGCCTGCAGAGAGCATTTGCTTTTGAATAAGAAGCCCTTAGCTGACTGCTCATACCTCTCTCTCACACACACACACACACACACACCCCTGTTTTGTCTCCTCTCTCCCACCCCTTCTCAGGGTGTGCTGAACTTCGTGCAGTACAAATTCAGCCACCTGGCTCCCCGGGAGCGCCAGACGATGTTTGAGCTCTCAAAGATGTTTCTACTCTGTCTTAACTACTGGAAGCTTGAGACACCTGCTCAATTCCGGCAGAGGTCCCAAGCTGAGGATGTAGCCACCTACAAGGTCAATTATACCAGGTAGGGCTGGCCTGGGGTCGGTTGCATGGGGCCAGGTGTATAGGTCCAGCCTAGGCTTAGTGGTTGCCACCTTCACCTGCCACCTTCCTCACCTCCACAGGTGGCTCTGTTACTGCCACGTGCCTCAGAGCTGTGATAGCCTCCCCCGCTATGAGACCACTCATGTCTTTGGGCGGAGCCTGCTCCGCTCCATCTTCACCGTTACCCGCCGGCAGCTGCTAGAGAAATTCCGAGTAGAAAAGGATAAGCTGGTACCCGAGAAGCGGACGCTCATCCTCACTCACTTCCCCAAGTAAGGCTCATATTGGCCTCTCAGTATCTTGTCTCAAATTCTTATCTTTGCTGTTGCCTCTTTTTTTTTTCCTGGAGTGGTTCCTCCTCCATGTCTGTGCGTCTTTTGGGGCCTGGGCATCTAACTGGCTGACTCGCCCTGGCCCAGATGCAACTTGCCTTGTAGGTGCTAGCCTGGGGATGACTGGGCCATGGTGCAAGTGCTAATGTGGCCCCTCCCATGCCCATGGTAAACAGTACTAGTTGTTTCTTCTGAACCTGGACTCAGCATCAGAATTCTTCCCCCAACAGCCCTCCAAGAAACTAGAATTGACACTTGAGGGACAACCGATTTCCATCCTTGTTCTAGTCCTTTCTGTAACATTTTCCTCTGCTCAGCCGTCATATCTTCTGCTCATTTTAAGCCTGGTTCATGACTCCTCTGTTCAGAAAGCTGGTCCTGACAACAACGGGCCCTCCAGTGTTCCTCCTGCCCCCAGGTGGTGAGCTCTGAGCCCCATTTTGATACTGAGGTGACTGAGGCTCAGGGTGACTCGGTGTGCTGCCTTTGTGCAGGAAGTGGGCCTCTGGAAGTGTCTTACCCTCTTGCCTTCAACTGGGGGCTTCACTAAAGGCAGAGGGTGTATCTTCTTGCAGACTTTCAGTTCCTTGGGAACAGATCTGTCTCTTTCCCCTGCCTTCTACCTTTTTGGTGCCGCACTCCAGGCTCTGCCCTTAGTTGGAGGGATAGAGTTGTAGGGCCCACCGTGTGCCTTCCGCCTAGATTCCTGTCCATGCTGGAGGAAGAGATCTACGGGGCCAACTCTCCGATCTGGGAGTCCAGCTTCACCATGCCACCCTCAGAGGGGACCCAGCTGGTGCCCCGCCCAAGTATGTACCATCTTCCTGGCTGAGCTAAGCACCCCGGAAAGAGAGGGGCTGAATGCAGAAGGACCTGGGTCCCTGTGACATCTGCCCATACCTAACTCCAGTCCTGATTTTTCTGTCTTAGCCACTGTCAGTGCAGCGGTTGTCCCCAGCACCCCCATCTTCAGCCCCACCATAGGTGGGGGCAGCAACAGCTCCCTGAGTCTGGATTCTGGAGGGGCTGAGCCCATGCAAGGTGAGTACTTGACCTCTGGCTTCTGACTACATGTATCCTTCCCCCAACCTCTGGATGCTCCTAAGAGACTTGCCAACCCTCCCTTTCCCACAGCAGGTGAGAAGAGGAAGCTCCCAGAGAACTTGACCCTGGAGGATGCCAAGCGGCTGCGAGTGATGGGTGACATCCCCATGGAACTGGTTAACGAGGTCATGCTGACCATCACAGACCCTGCTGCCATGCTGGGGCCCGAGGTGGGCAGCCAACAGTCAGTGGGGGGAGAGGGGCCCTCACCAGCTGGAGACCTTGGCTCACTGCCCCTCCTGTGGTGCCCAGACCAGCCTGCTGTCAGCCAATGCAGCCCGGGATGAGACCGCCCGTCTGGAGGAGCGCCGAGGAATCATTGAGTTCCACGTCATTGGCAATTCACTGACGCCCAAGGCCAACCGACGGGTGTTGCTCTGGCTTGTGGGGCTACAGAACGTCTTCTCACACCAGCTGCCACGCATGCCCAAGGAGTATATCGCCCGCCTCGTCTTTGACCCGTGCGTCCCTAGAAGAGCCTCCTCCTTGGCCCCCATCCCCAGGCTGCCCCCTCCAACCTTTGGGAATTCTTCAGCCTCACTTCCCCCCTTGAACTTAGCTCAGACTTCCAGGGCTGGCGGGACCTGGGGAGCTTTTGGTGAGCAGGTAGAGGCTATGACATGCCCCTTTCCTCTCAGGAAACACAAGACTCTGGCCTTGATCAAGGACGGGAGGGTCATCGGTGGGATCTGTTTCCGCATGTTCCCCACCCAAGGCTTTACGGAGATTGTCTTCTGTGCTGTCACCTCAAATGAACAGGTCAAGGTGAGCGCAGTTACCCTCCCCCCTAGGCTGCTGGGTCCAGTCCAGAGCAGCTGGATGTGCTGATGCTCAGCCCCTAACCCTTTCCAGTTTGGAAAGAACTTTTTTAGTGGCCAGATGGTTCCTCCCACGCCCACCAGGTGGCATTTGTACTTCTGAGAACATTGGATTCAGAAAGCACCTGTTGACAATGGAGCCCAAGAATCAGCAGCACTTAAATGGACCTGTGTTTTCTTCATCCCAAGGCCATTTACATACTTGGGAAATTAGGCATTGTTCTTATACTCTTGCACTGGGTGACCATTCCTCAATTCCAAAGACCCACCTGGTGCCTCCTTGGTCCAGATGACGTATGGGAGACAGAGTGTCTTTGAGGCTCAGCTGGTATGACTAGCAGACCCCTTGTGATGCCCCCTGTCCCTCCATTTCTAAAGCCCGGAGACTAGAACCCAGTGGCCTGGTTTGGAATCAGGCCTGTTTAACTGTATCCTAGGCCTACTGTGGCTGGAGTCTGACTTGGGACATGTTTCCTAACCTAGCCAAGTGCTTTCTCATCTACAGAATGCACCCGGGGGTGGGAACCACCTCATGGGTTAACTTGAGAATTAGGCCTGGCTCAGAGTGAGCACTTGATCACCCTGTGCCCTTCATTTTCCTTCCCATAAACCCCCTTCCTCTGTGTGGCAGCTTAGCTCTCCAGCTTCCCTGCCCCTTTCCTTCTCTGCCCCTACTCTCTGGGCTCTGGGTCCTCCTGAGGCCTCTCCAACACCAGGCTCACCTCCCTGCAGGGATACGGGACTCACCTGATGAACCACCTGAAGGAGTATCACATCAAACACAACATTCTCTACTTCCTCACCTATGCTGATGAGTATGCCATCGGCTACTTCAAAAAGCAGGTGACCCTCAGCCTCACCCTACCCTGCACCAACTCCCGGGTGTGAATAGAGGGGGAGTCCTCTCTTGTCCTGTGTTGCATTCACCACTGTGGGGAAGTCCTTCATGCCTGGCTTCCTCCTGACACGGCCCCAGTGAAACGTGAGGATCCTAAGGGGCAGAAGGGCAGGCTCCTGGGGGTGAGGTGGAAAGGGGCAGCTGTCCTGAAGCTTTTCTAGGGACAGACCAAGCCCTCCCTGTGTGTTGAATACTTTGTCAGGTACCCAGGGAGGGAGAGCGTGCCCCTCATGTTCTTTGGGGAGGGGTTATGGAAGTTGGAAAACATATACTGATGCATTAAGACATGACCATCTTCCTGCAGGGCTTCTCCAAGGACATCAAGGTGCCCAAGAGCCGCTACCTGGGCTACATCAAGGACTATGAAGGTGCAACCCTGATGGAGTGTGAGCTAAATCCCCGGATCCCCTACACGGAGTTGTCTCACATCATCAAGAAGCAGAAGGAGGTTGTGTGTGTGTGTGTGTGTGTGTGTGTGTGTGTGTACATGTGTGTTTTATGAACATACATGAGGGGGTGCACACAAGGATGTGGACATGCACCATGTGGTACCTGCAATTATCCGTGTGTGGGCACGAGCTGGGGCCTTGGGTCTTGCTCTGCCTCTCGGGACGTTTGGAGGGAGTGACCTGGGATTCTTCTGACTGTGGCCCTGGGCAGGTGGTTGCAATGGAGGGCTGGAGTTAGCTCCTCAGACCCTTCCTTCTCGCAGATCATCAAGAAGTTGATTGAACGCAAACAGGCCCAGATCCGCAAGGTCTACCCTGGGCTCAGCTGCTTTAAGGAAGGCGTGAGGCAAATCCCTGTGGAGAGTGTTCCTGGCATTCGTAAGCAGGGGTCTCAGCAGGGAGGGCTCACTGTTGTGGGGGGGTGCAGACATTCTGAGTAACAGTCTCCCCACTTCACAGGAGAGACAGGCTGGAAACCACTGGGAAAAGAGAAGGGGTGAGTGTTGCATTGAGAGAGAGGGAGGGTGGGGAAGACGGGAATCAGGCACCTTAGCTCGACATCTCTCACCCCCAGGAAGGAGCTAAAGGACCCTGACCAGCTCTACACAACCCTCAAAAACCTGCTAGCTCAGATCAAGGTGGGGAGTCCCGGGCCCTGACTTATATTATGATCTGGTCTGGGGTGGTGGCAGACGGGAAGGCTGGACATGGGGCTCAGTGCCTCCCCCCACTCCCCACCCCCGTGGATCTCTTTGCAGTCCCACCCCAGTGCCTGGCCGTTCATGGAGCCTGTGAAGAAGTCGGAGGCCCCAGACTACTATGAGGTCATCCGCTTCCCCATTGGTGAGCATGCTCTTTCCAGCCCCTTCCACCTCCACCAACAGATCCACTTCTGCCTCACTGGGCCATCTGGCCCACCTTAGCAGACAGCTACAGCTCTTCCCCCCCAAAGCTTTTTTAATATTTTTTAAAAATATAAAAAAATTTTTAATATTTAAAAAAAAAAAAAAAAAAGGTTCCCATTCAACAATGACTCTGCATGTTGTAGGTTGACATTATTTACATTCTTCACATTGTATCAACATTCTGACTATACTGTTTCTGTTCTAGTTGTTCCGTTACCCAGTGTCACAGCCCCCCAACCCTCTCAATCTATGTTTTAGAGTCTCTTTTGCCATTTAGTCTCCATAGCTGGTCTTTAAATGAGCATAGCACTCAAGAGTGAGGTCCAGTTCTTTATAAGCTAGCCTGTTACTTAGGTAAAAGGTGACTCGCAATAGTTTTGGCTCAAGACTTAAAGACTATCTCAGGGCAATTCAGTGTGTCCAGTAAGACTAGATTTTTTTATTTAATGTCCAGTTTTGTTCTGCGTGTTTCTCCTTTTCTGTCAGGCTCCACAGGTCCTGATCAGAACATAGGGGAGTGGCAGTGGGCATCGTCTAGTTCGTCCAGTCTCAGGGTAGAGGAGTCCATGTTGGTTCATGTAAGCAATTAGTCCTGTAGACTGGTTCTTCTCAGTCTTGAGTCTGAGTTTCTGTCTTTCTTTTTTGCTCCAGCCAAAGAGAAACCAATAGTTGTGTCTTAGATGGCTCCTTGCCAGCACTACTCACCAAAATAGAGTATAGAACCTAAATTCTATAAATTACGTTATGCCAACTGGCTGAGTTGAAACACGACTTCATGAACCTGAGTCTTCAAACCAGAAAACTTACCTCCTGGGATGTGATCCTTAATGATCACATACACATAATTGTATGCACACACATACATACACCTTGTTATGTGCTGTTGAGTTGAGTCCGACTCATAGCCACCCTGTATAGGGTTTCCGAGGAGTGTCTGGTAAGGTTTGAACTGCCGACACTGAAGTTCAAACCAACCTCACAGTCCAGTGTGTTATCCTACAATAGCACATCAGGACTCCTACCTACATATGTGCATATATATATATTTATACATATATACATACATGTATCATGGTGGTTGCAAAGATATATATAAGGGTAAGTCAAAAGTAATAGGGTTCATACACACACAAATTTATTCCAAACAAAACATGTTTATGCATGTCCTTACAATCAGTGGATGGCACGGACAGGTTTTTTCAGTCGTACATTTGCCTCAATCTTGCTAGGGGGCCTTCAAGGGAAAAAAAAAGTCCAATCAAAACAGTGGCTTCTGAGGGGATCTGCCAGGTCAGTTAAATTCAAAGTGAAGAAGTCAGCTCAGAGGTTATGGTGTTTTGGATTACAAAGCAGATCTTGGTAGGTTTCCTGGAAGGACACAAGACAGTCATGGGGGAGCTCATGAAAAAAATTTTGAGAAAATTGAAAACTGCATTAGTGACAAAAAAAACCAAGAAAGTTGTGCTGAGGAATTGTTTTCCATCACAACAATGCACCTGCTGGTTCTTTGATCGTAGCAAAGGTTGTCCTATGCACATACACCACATTTTTTTAAACCATTCATCTGTTGATGGGCACTTAGGTTGTTTCCATCTTTTGGCTATTGTGAGTAATGCTGCAGTGAATATGGGTGTGTGTGTGTGTGTGTGTGTCTGCTTCCCTTCTGTTAGCTCTCTAGCATATATCACAAGTAGAATTGCTGGATCATAAGGTAACTCGAGTTCTGATTTTTTAAGGAAGCGTCATACTGTTTTCTATAACCATTGTACCATTTTACATTCCTACCAGCAGTGAATAAGGAGCTCTGATAACAATAGTTAGGAATCAGGCTGCTAACCTCAAGGTCAGCAAGTCAAAACTACCAGCTGTTCTTCAGGAGAAAGATGAGGCTTTCTGCTCCTGTAAAGATTTACAGCCTCGGAAACCCTATACAGAGTCCCTATGAGTCGGAACCGGCTCTGCAGCACATCACCATCACCAGCAGTGGATAAGAGTTCCAGTTTCGTCAGATCCTCGCCAACATTTGTTGTTACGTGTTTTGTTTTGTTTTTTAACCACTGCCATTTTGATGTCTCATTGGAGTTTTGATTGGCATCTCTACTAGCTAATGACAAGGAATCCTGGTAACATAAGCCGAGCTACAAACCACAAGGTTCAGGAAAAAGATGAGGCTTTCTGCTTCCATAAAGATTTACAGCCTTAGAAATCCAATACAGGGTCGGAAGTGACCCCACAGCACACCACCACCACAAGCAACTCCAGCTAATGATTGATCATCTCTTCAGGTGGTTTTTTGGGGGCTTTTTGAATGTCCTCTTTGATGAAGTGTGTGTGCGTATCTTTGCCCATTTCTAACTGGGTTATTTGTCTCTTACTGAGTTATGACGTTTTGTATATATTTTGGAAATTAGACCCTGATTGGTTGTCATTCCCGAAAAATTTTCCTTCTTTAGGTTATCTTTTTATTCTTTTGATAAAGTCCTTTGATGAGCAGAGTTTCTCCTCGGCCTCTAAAAGCTCTGCTTTTGTCTCCTGCTGCCCAGACTTGAAGACCATGACGGAGAGGCTACGCAGCCGCTACTACGTAACCCGGAAACTCTTTGTAGCAGATCTGCAGCGAGTCATCGCCAACTGCCGGGAGTACAACCCCCCAGACAGCGAGTACTGCCGCTGCGCCAGTGCCCTCGAGAAGTTCTTCTACTTCAAGCTCAAGGAGGGGGGGCTCATTGACAAATAGTCTCTAGCTTTAGACCTGGGGGTTTCCCCCTCACTTGGATTCTGACGTGACCCCCTAGGGATCCCAAGGCCTGCTGACTCTCAGCATAAGACACTCCAGCCTGGCTCCCACTGCCCTTTCTGGATCTGCAGGAACCACCAAGCCTGCAGCTCTTACCCACCCTTCATTGTGTCTGACCTTGGGACTGGGACCCTGTCATTCTAATCTGGCTAGTGGGCCCAGTCTTGGTACCCTAGAGCTATGGCACCTTGGAATCCTGGATCTGGCCCACTTTGGCTGTTTCCTATTGGGCCAGGACTACTGACTTTAACATGAGTTGATTAGGCCCTTCAGAGGTTGGCAATTCAAACGAGACTGTAGGGGCCAAGGCTCGCCCTGCACTGTTCTGTCTGACATTCTGTCTCCCAGGGGTGGGAGATATAGGGGACCATTCATTCCCTGGCATTAATCCCTTGGAGGGAACAATAAAGTTTTTTGTTTTTGTTTTCCCCTTTTGTGTAGTGGTTCTTGGGGATTGCCCCCAACTTTTGCCAGACTGACTGACCTTGGCCACTGTGGTACCCTCAGGACGACAAGTCCCATACCCAATCCAGGACTCCTGGGTGGTGTGGCCTGCCTGGCTGCAGCCTGCCCCTTCACCCCACTCCTGACCCAAGTGCCAGGGACAGCAGAGGCAGCCTGGAGAGGACTTTATTATTGGCTTGGAAAGGGGGTACGGGTGTAGCAGGACCCCAGAGGAATAAAAGAGTGACACCCTGCCAGTAACATAACTGAACCCCCACCCCAACATGCTGAATAGTGTTTCCCCAGAAGGCAGGGGCTGAAAGTTTCTAAGGGGAATGTTAAGCTCCAGGCTCTAGCTGGCTCCTCCCCTTGGTTTCAGTTTCCAGTTCCCATCTCGGCCAAGCTAGGCGGCGTCTTGCAAGCTAAGCCTAGCAGAGCCGCCCTTGGTCAGCCCCCGAGGTGCAGATGAGACCCAGGCCAGGTGGGAGCAGGTGTAGTCTCCCTGTCTGCCAGAACAGTGCCAGCCCTGCCCCCTCAAACTGAAGAGCTCTTCCCCCGCCCAGCTGGCCCCAGCTTCCGGGTAGAGAGGAGTCACTTTGAGAGGGCTCTGAATCTCTGATATACTCAAAATGGAACTGCGACCCTACCAGAGGGAGGTGATCATGCCGGCCCTGGAGGGCAAAAATGTCATCATATGGCTGCCCACAGGCTCCGGAAAGACGCGGGCGGCTGCTTATGTGGCCAAGAGACATCTAGAGACTGTGGACCAAGCTAAGGTGGTTGTATTAGTCAACAGGGTGAGTGACCTGCTCTCCATTTTGTGGGGCCTGAGTTCCTCGGTGCTCCTTGGACCCTCCAGAACCCCAGTGCTGCTGGGGCCAGCCCTCAGCTCCCCTGCCACCCCACTCCAGTTCCCAAACATGTCCTGGGGCTACCTTCCCTTTCCAAAACTCTAGTCCCTGATCCGGCTTCCTTCCTCCCCATCTCATCCCCCACCCTCAGGTGCACCTGGTGACCCAGCATCGTGAAGAGTTTAATCGCATGTTGGATGGACGCTGGGCCGTGGTAACCTTGAGCGGAGACATGGGGCCACGTGCTGGCTTTGGCCACCTGGCCCGTAGAAACCACCTCCTCATCTGCACAGCTGAGCTGCTGCAGATGGCACTGAACAGCCCTGAGGAAGAGGAGCATGTAGAGCTCACTGGTAAGAGATGTGGGCGGGGGCAGAGTGTGAGCACCTGAGCAGCCACTCCTGTCAACCTCAGGGCACCCCTTCCTTATTTTTGTGGGACGGGGTTCCCTGTGGAACAACCTTTAGCCCACCTGCTAGCGGAAACAGCTGTGGCTCCTATGCAAGACCTTGGGTAAGTCCCTAACTGCAGTTGAGCCTCAGTGTTGTTACTGTTGTTAAGTGCCGTCGAGTTGGTTCCGACCCATAGCAACCCTAAACAGGGTTCCCGAGGCTGTAAATCTTTACGGGAGCAGAAAGCCTCATTGTTCTCCCACGGAGCAGCTGGTAGTTTCGAACTGCTGGACCTTGCGGTTTGCAGCCCAATCCGTAACCACTACGCTACCAGAACCTCAGTGTACTAATCTGTAAAATGGAAGTAAACCATCCCCATCTGGCTTGTTCCCTGTGAACGGTGAAGGGATTCTCAGACGAGTGTGGGAAAATTCTCAGCTTATGAGAAGAAGAACTTTATAAAGATGACCACCTTTTCCCTCATGTGCTCCTCCTCAGACTTCTCCCTGCTTGTAATAGACGAGTGTCACCACACACATAAAGACACTGTCTACAACATCATCATGAGCCGATACCTAGAGCATAAACTCCACAGAGTGCAGCCTCTGCCCCAGGTGCTAGGGCTTACAGCCTCCCCAGGCACTGGAGGGGCCTCCAAGCTTGATGGAGCCATCAACCACGTCCTGCAGGTCAGCTGGGCCCTGTGGCCCTCCCTTCTACCAGCCCCACCCTGGCTCCCTTGGGCCCCTTCCTCACCCACAGCATAGCCTCCAGTGGTTTCTTATTACACTTAAAATCAATTTCCAACTCTACTCTGGCTTACAGAGTTTCACGTGGTCTAGCCCCTGCCTACCTGTCCAGACTACAGCTATACTGACCCTATTTCTGTATCTTGAACAGGTCATGGTCATGCTTACAGAGGCTTACCGAGGTGGACGGAGAGGGCACTTGCCCAGGCACAAGTTCAAGTGGACACCAGAGGGGGCCAACCAGTGAATCACACACACCCTACTGGGTGTGTGGGGGTGGGTGTTCCCAACTTAGACATTACCCTTGGGCACTACTGTGGTACTGTAGGATAAGCACTGGATTTCTAACCATGAGGTCAGCGGTTTAAACCCCCCCCGGTTGCTCCTTGGAAACCCTATACAGGGTCCCTGAGTCAAAACCGACTCAACAGTACTTAACAACAAACCACCTGGGCACTTCATACCACTGATAACCTCGCTAAGCCTCTGCAGGTTTGTTCTCAACCTATGCACTCCTTTTGCCCTGAATGCCCTTTCCCCTGAACTTTACCTGGCTAGTAAGTAAAGTCTGGGAGAGCAGCTTCAGTGCGACCTGGTCACCGTCTCTCCACTCCTTCATCCAGTTGCATTCCCTTCAGAGCTCTTCACTCTACCCACAATGCTCTCACTCTGTCCATTACTGCTTCATCAGCTGTCTCCCCAACTCCAAAGTCCCTCTGAGTCTAGATGTGTATCTGGGACCAAGGGGGCGGGCAATAGATCTTTGCTGAATGAACGAATCCTCATGCTTCTGTTGCCATGCCCCAGGTTGCCCAAAAGCTCTGCCCATCATTTCCACACCCTCTCATTCCAGTGAACCCCTCTCTGTTGTCACAGCTCTGTGCTAACCTGGACACATGGTGCATCATGTCACCCCAAGAACACCAGCCTCAGCTGCATGACGTCAGCCACCAGCCCTGCAAACAGTATGATCTCTGCCAACAGCGCAGCCAGGTACCTGTGGGTGAGGAGGGTGGGGCCTACTGTAAAGTTAGGGCACCTAGATTGAGGCCAGACTCTCCTCTTCATTGGATGTGTGACTTTAGGTCATTTCATTATGTCTCTGAGCTGCCATTTCCTTTTTCTATGAAATGGGACAGCTTTAAGTCATACCCACAGCTTCCGCCGGGATTGAGTCAGAAGCCACGGTCATGTGTGCCAGGACCTGGACATTCTATCGAGTGCCTTGTAAAAACCATCAAGCAGGGGCACTTAGTGCTGAGGGTGTCCCAAGCGCTCTCCTTCGGTGTACTCACAACAGTGTCTGCTCTGGCAGGGCTTGGAAAAGACAAGACCCCATTTGTCCAATGATAACAAGAGGGTGGAAACAACCGAAACCCAGACCATAGCTTGGCCTCTGCCTACAGCCAGGACTCTCTCTCACCCCAGTGGGCCTCTCAGAACAGGCCTGATCATTCTCAATGTTGTTCCCCTGTTCCCCCTGCCCCAATGAACTTGTGTGTGTGTGTGAGAGAGAGAGAGAGAGAACTGAGAGATAGTTTACATGGGAGAAGATCAGCTTTTTATACCCATTCTCAGTGTTTTGTGTGGTGTTGTTTATTAACATTTTATTGTGGTTTAGGTATAAGTTTACAGTACAAAGTAGTTTGCCATTCAACAATTTGTACACATTTTGTTTCCTGACACTGGTTGCAATCCCCGCAACAGCGCGCATCCATTTGTCCTTCTTTCCTGCCCCTTACTGCTTTCTCAGCTACGTTTTTTGGGCAGATGTCACCTGTTTGGTCTGGTCCGATGGATTGTTTTAAGGAGTACATTCCTCCCTGGTGTTAACTGTTCCCTTTTTAGGCCTGTCTATTGTTTGGCTAAAGTTGATCCACAGAGGTGAGTTCAGTTCTAGACGTAAAGGGGTCTATAAAGGTCATAGTCTTAGGGGTTCCACCAGCCTCTGTCAGACCCATCAGTCTCGTCTTTTTGCTGATTTTGAATTTTGTTGCACATCTGTCTCCTATTCTAGCCAGGACCTTCTATCGTGGTCCTAAAGTGGTCAGTATTAATAGCTGGGCACCATTTAGTTCAGGTAGTGGACACTGAGGTTCACACGGTTCATGTCCTTTGTCTCTGTTTCTTTGATTTTCTTCATTTTTTGCTTAAATGATTGTTCACAACCTTTTTCTTTTTAAACATTTCACTGTGGATTCAGTGCAGGTTTACAGAGCAGATCATCATTTTGCATTCAACAAATCATATACTTTACTTCATTACAATGATTGCAATCCCCTCCATGTACCATCAGTTCACAGTATTCACCTTGATTCACTGTAACTCATGCATTCCTCTGTGTCTCCCGCTACCTCCATCTCTCCTCCGCCAACCTCACTCTTGTATATTGCCTGCCCTGTCATCCATGTTAATGCGAGTCTACACTCTGGTCGGTGAGTCATTTCACCTCCCCCATCACCATCATAGAATGTTTCTTTTATCAAGAAAGCCTTTTCTTAACTTTTTACAACATTGGTCTCATACAATATTTGTCCTTTTGTGATTCATTTTACTCAGCATACTGTCCTCCACATTCATCCATGTTATGAGGTGTTTTGCAGATTCATTGTTATTTTTCAACATTGCGTAGTATCCCATTGTGTGTATGTACCAATGTTTGCTTAACCATTCTGTTGACAGGCATTGGGCTGTCTCCATCTTTTTCATGTCTTTTTCAGACAGCATATTGAAAGATACTGTGTTTTTATCAATTTTGTTACTCTCTCTTGACTGGTGCATTTAATCCATATTCTTCCACATGATTTTCTGTGCTGATTCATTTTGTTTGTGGGTTTTCTTTTCACTTTCATTTCTGTTGTGTTCATGCTTACTAAAACATTCTAATTTTCCTCTTTTTTATTTTGATGTGAAGATGTATTCATTTTCTTTGAGGATACCCAGTTACTTATTATTTTCCCCCCTGTTTAAAACAGTCTGCTTTATCTCAAAATCTACTTGATTTTATTGCCATTTGGAAGTTCTGTATCTAAAACAGAGGTGGGGAACATCTGGCCCTTGGGCAATATGTTGTAGCTGGGTGTTGCTGAGTTGGTTCCAACTCATAGTGACCCTGTATAGGGTTTCTGAGGAGCAGCTGGTGAGTCTGAACCTCTGATTTTGTGGTTCAAACCGCCCTGTAAGCCAGTGCTTATCCTACAGCGTCACACCAAGACTCCTATTGCTGTTGTTAAATGCCACCAAGTCATTTCTGACTCATAGCAACACTGCGTAGGGTTTCCAAGGAGTCACTGGTGAGATTGAACTGCCGACCTTGTGGTTCAAACTGACCTTGCTATGCAGTGCTTTAGCCTACAGTGCCACATCAGAACTCCAGGACTTCTACAAGGTCCTCTGGTCCTGTCAAGGTGACCAAAGTTGCAGCCATCGCATTGTTGTTGCTGTTGTTAAGTGCCATCGAGTCAGTCCCAATGCATAGCAACTTCTGTGTATGGTTTTCAAGGACTTTGCAGTCTGGCGCATTAAACCACAGTGCCACACCAGGACTCCAGCCATCACATTAGACGTGAGTTAATTAAATGTTTGACCAAATATAACAAACAGGCTAATTTTTAAGTTGATAATTTTTTATAGCCCATGAATTGTGTTAGAAATTTTGGTAGAAAAACCATGATCTGTATTATTCCCTCTTTTTACTTGGTAGTTGACTTCTTTATGCATTGATATCTCTAGTTCCCTATTTTTAGTCCTGTAGATTTGTTTTGCTTTAAATACTTGTATATCTGGATTGAGTTCTGGGCAGTGTTGTCATGTATGTTAATCTCAGGTTGTTGTCTGTTGTTGTTGGTTCTTAGTCCAAAGAATACCCTTTAGCATTTTTGATAAAGTTGGTCTGGTCATTGCAAATTCCTTTAGTTTCTGTTTATCTGGAGATGTCCTAATTTTGCCATCATATTTGAAGGACAGCTTTGCTGAGTATATGATTCTTGGTTGGCAATTTTTTCTTTCCAAGTTATGCATATGCCATCCCATTGCCTTCTTGCCTGCATGGTTTCTGCTAGAAATCAGAGCATTGTCTTATTGGTTCTCCTTTACAGGGAACTTTTTGTTTTCCCCAAGCTCTTCTCAGGATTCTTTCCTTGTCTTTGGTTTTGGACAGTTTGATTATACTCTGTCTTGGTGATTTTCTTTTGGGATCTATCTTGTGTGGGTTTCTTTCAGCTTCATGTATGCTTATCTTCTCGTCTTTCATAATGTTAGGGATGTTTTCGTCCAGAAACTCTTTGACAGTTTTTTCTGTGATTTTAATTGTCTCTTTCTGTTCTGAAAGTCCAATCACCCCTAAGTTATTCTTCTTCATGGTGGTCGACATAACTCTTGAGCTTTCTTCAGATGTTTTCATTACATTTTTCTGATTGTTAGCATGTATTGAGAGATTTCTCTTCAAGCTCACTAATTTGGGCTTCCGTTGCTTCCAGTCAATTCCTTTGCCCTTTCAATGTATTGTCCATTTTCTGAAATCTCAGCATTAATCTTCTGGGTTTCTAATTGCAGCTATTGTTTCAAAATTTGCATTTATTTTGTCTGTCTGTTCTTGTAGTGTTTTCCTAAATTCTTCTAAAGTTTTTTCTGTGCTCTCCTTGCTTTCTTCTATCTTTCTGCCAATCATTTGAAAGTGCCGAAATACCAATTTTTTAAATTCTTTTTTAGTTAGTTCCAATCGGGCTGTGAACCTTAAGGTCAGTGGTTCGAAACTACCAGCTGCATCGCGGGAGAAAGATGAGGCTTTCTACTCCCGTAAAGATTTACACCCTCGGAAACCCTATACAGGGTCGCTATGGGTCGGAACCGACTCGATGGCACATAACAACAACAACAATGCCTCTTATCCCTCAAATGTTTTTTGACACTGCATCTTGATCATTTGTTTGAACAGTTCTCTCTTGCTTCTTCGTGTAAGCTAAATTAGTCTCCAGAGCATTGTGGTGTTTTCCTATTGGTATTTAATTGATGATTGCACATTGACATGTTCTTAGGCTCCCACCCACTGTTTCCTGTGGGAGTAGTAAGAGATTAGAAGTATATACATTCTCTGTTTGCCATTAGTGCACCTCAGTTTAGAGTGGGTTTGGCTGTTGTTGGCTGCTGTCTATCAATGATCAGGTGGTTTAGGAGCTGGTATTTGTCCTTGCCCAGTGGGTAGAAGTACAGAGGGTATGGTTGTGACTTGCTGTATAGACATAGTTGCTGTCTCCTGTTGAGTGGAAAGAGGAGAAACCCAGCTCCCCCCATCCCAAAAGACAACAAAAAACTGAATAAATAAACAGGCAACCAACAATGAAAAAGAAAATAATGAGAAAAATTAAATAACAACTAGCAGCAAACAGAAAAAAATGTAATGACTAAAAAGAGAAAAAAATGACAGAAGAAATGGAGCTATAGAAGAGGAAAAATAAGAAAACAAAATAATAATAATAAAAACAGGGAGAGGGAAGATGAAAAAAGAGTATAAACTAGTAATACTCAAAAGGGAAAAAAAAGAAGAGGAGGGGAAATGAGAAACAGAAAGAAAGAAGGAAAAACAAAAGTAGAGATAGAAAAGATAAAATTCAAGGGAATGAGAAAAATTTCAGAGAATGGAAAGAGAAGGAGAAGAAAGAATAAACAAAAACAATGAAACAAAAAAGGAAAACAACAACAGAAAATAGAGGGTCCAAGCAAAATGCAGACTTTAACAAGTTCAATCTTTTTTTTAATTTATCATGAGTTTTATTGGTCCAGAGGATTTTTGTTTTCTTTACATTGAGATGTAATTCATACTGAAGGCTGTGGTCTGAATTATATCATTCAGAGTTGTGAGTGATGGTTAACAGTGTTAATTGTGAAAACTTGCAACTCTAACATGGCTGTAAAATGAGCATATTACTACAATCAAGCAGAGTCAGGAGTGGAGTGTGTCCTTTGGATCCCAATATCCTTGCACATTGAATCTC